TTGGCTGATGACTGGACAAGGTTTCGCTAAGCCCGCTCGCAGAGACACTTTTTCACCTACGCAGCTGGACTTGCCGACAATTAATTAGGGTTGTGCTCATTTCTTAAATATTATCCCTTTTAACACTTTCGCGCGTTACGCCCTTCTTATTTTGGGATAGTACTCGCTAGGAGCTTCGTTAGTTAGTCCGGACGTCGAAATTCGACAGCCTTACCAAGACTTCTCCTCTCCTAAGAAACCAGGCCTGGAAGATCGCAGTCGTTAGGTTTAACCTTCTTAGCCTTAACACCCCTCGTTAATGCTACACACCAATCGCACACCACGTAAACTCGCTTCACAATCATGTAAACGCAGCTGTCATCATCTCTCCTCTACACACAGAAGCTCTCTGGCGTCACTGGATGCGGTTAACATAAGCCCTAGCCTTGCCAATGGCCACCGCTGCCTGAGACAGCAATGCCGGGATTCGTTCACGATAAATCTCTCATTCTGGTGACTTCTGCATTTTACCAATAACCTGGGATTCGATCTGATGATTTTAGTGCTTCGAGTACTGCTGTGTATACCCGCCAGTAGTGTCGGGACACCGTGACACAATTAGCGCGTCAAACGCCAGTTAAGGTCACGGATACGGTCAGACGGGACTGGATAAAATGTGTGCCGTTGGTGCTATCTTACGTACATCGAATTGGAGTTGGCCTAGCTCTAGGTTACCAGTTAGTGAAGCATGAAGAACTATTTCGGGACGATTCTACTACGCACCCGGTTCCCCTGTAGGAATTCGTCGCCCAGAACAACTGCGCTGACTCATGCTGCCTTTCGTACGCTGAGCTTCGCTCGCTGCCCACTATTGCCCTTTTGCTCGCTTGACGTCAACTCACCGCGTTTACGCCTAAAGGTAATCGATATTCCTGCCTCATTTGATTGGCGCCAGCCGGTTGATTGCTCATAGCACAGCCCAAACTTGTCACATCCCCACTTTCGCACCTGCACTGCTGGCTATCGTACGCAGCGTCTCTGTACAGCTTTTTGAGCAGTAAAGTTGTTCGAGTTCAATTAGTCTTTCCAGACTTGTTATTTGGGAATCCTTCTGGTGTTGAGACAGCAACTAGCTCTCAGTGCAATTCTACTCTAAATCAGAGTCTCAGCCCCAATTCTTCAAAGCCCGTTCAGTCCCCTATGCAGTTGCACCGAAGGTCGAAGAAGAGTTAGATCGTCTACACAAAGCGGACATTATTGAGCCAAAACAGTCTTCGGAATGGGTAGTCTCAATAGTTTCTGCTCTTCAATCCGATGGTTCTGTGCGTATTTGTAGTGACTACAAGCTGACTATCAACTCAGCAAACAAACTAAATTATTATCCGTTCTCGTACATCGAGGACCTGTCTGCATCCCTTTCAGACGGTCAGTGACTTACAACTTTAGACTTGTATAATGCGTACAGCCAAGTCGTCCTCAATACAAAATCCCGAGACGCCACTACCACCGGGAAAGTTGACACAGATACACAAACCACGCCAACGTCTTCAGGACGGAGGGAAGCTGTATATGCCTGCCCGTAGTATTGGGACATCATGCACAAAGCGCGCGTCAAGCGCCAGTTAATGTCACGGACACGAGTGCACCCATTTCCTTGTTCTGACTGGCTAGCCTTACGCCCGGCCGGCGTTTTCACCCCTCTCTTTGCCCCGACTGGCTACCGTTCAGCCTCTTACGTTTAAGCCACACCATAAAGCCCTCTTTGTCAACATGACTCGCCACTTGAACTGTTCCTTGTCTTCAGTACACGTCCTGCCTATAGACAGCCCTCTGTTTGGTCTACATGACATTCTGTTTTACATACACCACGTTCGTCCTGCCCACAACCTGCCTTTCTTTTTTGAATACATAACAAGTACCACCGCTACTGAGAGGCTATAAATTCACTGGAAGGTTGTACTACCTTAGTCCAGTCATCCATGTCCTCCAACGCCACGACTTTCATTTTCCGACCAATGAAGATGCACTCTGCATTCGGTTTACAAGAATGGTCAAATTTAGAAGCCCTAGGGGGGATACATGGTCAAGTTAACTGTACAACTCTTACCATCTATAGAATGCATTACCGATGCTCTTCCCGCGTTTGCCCGCCAAGGCGAAGGCGTTTGTTTTGACCTAGCAGACATAGTTCGACAGGAGGGAAACGAAACAAACTTTGCAAAAGAGTACTTCAAAGTCGCGTCGTGAAATCTGGAGAGTATTCTCGGAGAAAATTAACAGGTCGGTGTAAGCACAGTCTAGCCCCGACTTGGTGTCAGGATCCCTGAGATTCTCCTCGAGATCTAATAGGTCAGGCGGACATGGTAAGGTGATACTTACGCGATACGAAGGAGTCGAAAATGGAGGCATCCTTGTACTTCTACACACACAATTGCGTGAGGGAGGGGATTGAAGTGAACCTACCTCCGTGGTGATGAGAGCAAGGAGAAGGCGTAGTGTAGCAGACGGCAATTTTCCAGTCTTTGCGATTGCCTTTCATTCACCACGATGACCGAATGCCCAGCCGGCCTTTTGACACTGACGGTTGCAGTAGTAGACACTTTTGCACTGGGCGCAGCGTAACAGGTTGTCTGACGCGGTTACACAGTAGGCACAGTAATTGGTCATTTCGGATTCATTGAGAGCATGGGCTAGGGTGGTATCCGTCACGATGATATCGCCCCTTTTAAAGCTTTGGCCTGACTTCAACATGAGCTGAAAGGTAAATGCGGGAGCTAGGTTACTTAGCATCATGGCATGCAGACGATCATGAAAAGTGGGGCCACTGCTCGGATCAAAAGGGAACTTATCACTTTCTGGAAGGATATATGGTCCATGGTTCAGAAGACACTACATCGGGGTACACGGAATCCCGAATCAATATCCCGAACTACTGAATACGAAGCGGCTGTTAGGGACCCCCAAGGGTCTGTGAAAATATGCGTTAAGTGACAAGGAGACTATGCTAACAACCTTCCACCTTGGATACTCATTCAGAGAAGGTTGCGTTAGTAAAAATGTCCACCCAATAATATTTGAGATATAGTTACACGATGCCAAGTCCATCAGAAACATTGTTCGAAAGCAAAATTTTGTCACTTTGACTGCCATTCCTGAGACCGGGCTACATAATTGAGGCGAGCTACATCAGGCATCATCACAGCCGGATCAAGTTCAAGTACACGAGGAGAAACATGTTATTAACTTTTGACACGACGGCCGTCAAAAGCATTGGAGCAAGCATTCCCACTTCCTCCGTTTAATGTGGGTTTTCTTCACGACTCATAAGCTTCTTTTGTCTGAATTCGAAGAAAAGAAGCCGTTTCCAACTATTTTAGTCTACTTCTGCATTTGCTTATGTGGAACAGGCTGGAACATCGGTTTGATGACTCGACACCTTTGTGAGAAAACGAGAGAATAAGTTATGGGAATTTATTGCCTCCGTCCTTAACCTGTGATCGATATGGGGTGTCCCGTCGACACTGATAAGGTCTCTTAGAAAATTATCACGTCGGATAGCCAACCGAAGATGCTACGGTGAAGCACGCTTATAACTGTCGAAGCAACGACAGTTGGACCGTGGAGTTAGACGATGCTCACAGTATTCTTCACGCCAGGATGGTGCAGGGATGGTGACTGCCGCTGGATTAC